GGTCGTGAAATATGCTGGTTCACCTTGTGACTGTGTCCCTGGAGGTAGTTGGGATACATCATGTGGAAGAAAATGCACATACCTGAACTGCTCCTTCATTGTAAGGCGTTGAACTAGATGATCCTTTGTATCCCTTCCAACTCTCTACAATTCTATGATTACTGGATGCCCATTGATAAAAGTTGATTTCGACTTTGGCTGGAATTTTATTTATGCAGATGTTCATTCTTATTTATATAGATTTAACCATGCAGGTCTCCATATAAGTCCCTCAAAGTGATTTACAGAATGAAACAATAACATTGTGCCATACAAGAAAGGAATCAAATACCATTATTAAACATTAATACGAGCAGCGCATTAAAGCAGACAAACTTAAATGTTCATAGTACCCAATTCCTAGAGGCCAAGGTCCCTTCACCCCTCATAAAATATTTGATGGGGCCAGACTTTCCCAAATTTGATGGACAGACAGCGCCATTCAAATTGTGCCTGTGTGCCGCATCTTGTGATCAATTATGTGGGGTGGGGCTTACCTGCCCCCCCAGTATTTTATTCATGTTGGCACCCCTGTAAAGGTTACAGAAGACTTGGCAGAAAAGGTCTAAACCAGAAACTTGAATTTAACTCAGATATAGACTGTGCGATAGTAAATGAATTGCTGCTATATATAGTGAACAACTAGCTTGAAATAGAAGCCGCATTCTAGGCAAGCTGAAATTTCCAAACTGTCTTCAAGGGTGAGCCCTACATATAGTGTATTATAGTAGTCAATATTCAGTAATTTAACAGTGATTTTTGGAGGCAAATGCTTCTAATACATTATATTTTAACAATATGGTTTCATTATTGCTTTTCTAAGATGGAATAGTGTTGTCTTAAATTCCTCAGTAATTTGTCTTTCTTTCATCTGATATGCCTCTGCTTAATAGAATATAGGAATAGGAAAGCATTTCCCCCCATCAAATAAATATGTAAACACTGTAAATGTGGTTCAGTATAACCTGACATGAGTTGTTTAAATACAGTAGTCTGCACTTTTCTTGTTATTTTCCCATTCTGCCATGTGGCCGACTGATAACCAGCAGATTGTCTCTGACTATTTGTTGTTGTTTAGTTGTTTAGTCGTGCCCAACTCTTCGTGACCCCATGGACCAGAGCACGCCAGGCACTCCTGTCTTCCACTGCCTCCCGCACTTTGGTCAAACTCATGCTGGTAGCTTCGCGAACACTATCCAACCATCTCGTCCTCTGTCGTCCCCTTCTCCTTGTGCCCTCTATCTTTCCCAACATCAGGGTCTTTTCCAGGGAGTCTTCTCTTCTCATGAGGTGGCCAAAGTATTGGAGCCTCAGCTTCAGGATCTGTCTCTGACTATTACCCTACTTGAACCATCACCCCTTGACTGAAATGCTCGTTTTTGACATCACAGCATAATATGCTCTGAGTTGCACCTTAAACCACTTCTCTTGCCTCTCCCAGTTTTGCTTTCTCTTTCTCTTTCTGCATGGGGGAGAACTAACCAGCTCTGCTTACTGAAGTGTGTTTGCTCAGCAAGAAGCCACTGGACTTCCAAACAGAAATTACTGGGGATTTTCCATTTAGGCTGCTTATTGCAGACTGAAAGCTCTTTAAGCATATATTGATAGTTGCTCAGTTTTATCAATACACCTTAAGACATCCCTAATGCTGTGAATGCTCCTTTTGGAGTCCCTGCAGCCCGTCAGTGCAATGATCTATTGCACTGCACATATTGGAATAGCAATGTCTCCATTGGGCCCCAGGATTCAGTTAATTGTCTTCTGTCACATGAGACACCCAGGGATGTTATCTCAACCATTTGGAACTTGGTGCAGGTCAATTGGTTGTGTTTTGCAAATGCTAAGATGGTCTGCTTACAGGTGCTGGTTTTAAGGATACCTTTGCACAATACTTGCATGATTAGTGATACAGTTCCCTTAACAAACAGTATTTTTCCAAAAGCAGGAACCCAAACTTCCAACACTTCTGTATTTTTCTGAGCTCCTATGTCAATGACCAAGCAGCATGATCCACTGTAAACATCCCATTAACCTAACATGTGACACCTATGGAGGGTTTTATTCACTTAGCTTGAAGCAACTCAACAAAGAGTATACCCTCTGCTTGGCAACCATATCACGATTTGATAAATACAAAGCTGTTCTTGTTCTCTCTCTCTCTTTAACAAAATGGCTAATTATACCCCTCCATTTCCATCTTACTGCTCCTAATTAGATTCTTCTTAAACAAACCAGCTCTTCCCTGGTGCCCCTCAAATGCATGAGAGGTGGTTATCATGCACTCCAATACCACTTGTTATCTTCCCTCATGTCAACCCTTTTGGCTCATTAATAGCTCTACTTTTGCTCTTGCCCGAATTCCCAGTCCACTCCTCCACATCTTTCAGTGACAGCGGAAATGTGTTTCCGAGGCAAAGGAGCCTCCTCCTCCACCACCCTATTGCTCCTTCTTATAATTATATGTATGCAGTTTCTCAGACGTGCATAGGATGGTCCTGAACATTGGATGGTGCCAATTTCAAGCATCAAGTTGGAGGCCAAGAGAGAGGGTTACAGGGTCTCTACCTCAAATAATGGAATCCATATAATCCATAAATTAATATCCGTAGCATTCTACCTGCATTAACGCCAAATATCTCTGTGCTTCTCAAATCCTAAATGATCCATTGGCATACTTCTTTGCGTGCTAATTTTAGCTAATAGCTATCTAGCTGGAAGAAATGAATTACCTTCAAGGTGTATGTTATGCCTCTCACACATTTGGCTTCCGACATGGTGGGCTGTTTAAGTCCAGCGTAACATGCAGTCACACTGTTTTTATTCCTCTTGCACGTCATGCCGTGTTCCCTGTGAAGATGCATTGACTTAGTTTCATTTTCACATTTTACCAGTGTGTGTACAGCCTTGCATTTAAATAGTCTCATTTCCTTTTGATACAGTGACATCTTCTCAGGAGAGGCACCATCTGACTGTCCTGAAAATTTAGCGATGTCACAAGTCATAATGGAAAATCGAAAACGCTGCGTTCTTGGGAGAGCTTGTTGGCTGGGCATGCTGCTGTGTGCTGCTTTGCGGAAAATTGGGGGGGCCTTTCTGAATGATCAGTTTCTAATGCATTAAATGCACAGTTTTTGTTTTGAGTCCACCCAGGTTGCACTTCATTTTCAAAAAGATTGCTTTCCCCCAGAGTAACGTGCTGTATTTTTGTACTTGGAGGAACAACACGGAGCTGTCTTCTGGTTACAAGTTTCATTGCTATAGTGATGGGCATGAGGAACGCAGTGATGGAGTGTCATGGGATCCTATTGAAAACATGCCCTCCAACATTTCTCTGATGAAAATAGGGATGTCCTAAATAATAATAATAATAATAATAATAATAATAATAATAGTAGTAGTAGTAGTAGTAGTATACCCCACCCATCTGAATGGGTTGTTCCAGCCCTCTGGATGGCTTCCAACATATATAAAAACATAATGAAACATTAAACAAACTTCCCCATATAGGGCAGCCTCCAGCTGTCTTCTAAAGGCTGTATAGTTACTTACCCTTTTTGCATAACTCCACACCCTCCAACATTTCTCTGATGAAAATAGGGACATCCTAAGGAAAAGTGGGACATTCCAGGTTCAAATCAGAAACCGGGATGGCTTCTGTAAATCCAGGCTTGTCAGACACAGCTCCCTCATTCTTGTGGCTCTTGTTTTGTGCTTTTTGATCTTGCCACCAGTTTGTATGTTCTCCTCTGATACTCCATTTCTCGGACAGCAAGAATAACACCAATAAATTCAAAACCTGAAACTTGGGAACAGAATGTGTTATAACAAACTGAAGTAGGTAAACCTTCCTTTTGTGTACATAGATAGCAAAGCCTGGTACAGTCGATTTGGATTATTTGGTTACAGAATACTTAAAAGACTTATTTATGGGTTCACGGTAGATTACTAAGGCACACTAAATTGCTTGTAGTCAATGCATCTGGTTGTGGAGAGGGAGCAGGGAGACAATATTCACTTAGCAGCCTTCTGTGCAATGTTTGGCATTGATTAAAATTGTCCAGTGTGGCAAGCGGAATCAAAGGAGAAACAAGCAAGGTAAAACAGACCTTGGGATGCAGGCGACAGAGAAAGCCTGAGTTTTACTCTGCTGGGTCCCAGAAAATGCCCAGATTTCAACAAAGGATTGCCTCCAGCTCCCTTGTATATGTATGTGGGATACATAGCTCTTGCAGTGCCCTACAGCATCTATAATGCCATGGAAACAGCAAGCACTTCCAAAACAGTAAATGTCAGCCCTCTAACAGCAAGCCATGAAGATTTAGGAGCTTTCACAAAGAAATTATAGTTCCCTGCCATCCTGTCTGCATTTTTTCAAAGTGAGCTATATCAAAATATGGATGTGAGACTGGTGCACCCCCCCCCCTAAATGCTGGGCTAGTTCCATGGCTTTCAAATCACATCTCTGTAAACCTAGGAGCGTTGTGTTCTTAAAGCAGTCTGCACTATTTGAATTAAAAGCATTGGGGTTTTTTGTGGGGCTCTAGGAACCTGCTGTCTCCTCTGGAAGGCATACCCAATAGTTAATACCTTCTGGACAGCTATAACCGGCCTGACACCTGCGGGTATAGGTTTATATATCAATTTTAATTAAAAAAAATAAAATTAGTGCTATTATGGTAACACTGTACACATGGGTCCATCTTTATGCCTTCTCTCATTTTCCAAGGGTGACAAGTCTTCTGATGTGCTGAAACCACATGTTGGTTGCCACATGACCCGTAGTAGGACAAGGGTGCTATTTTTTTGTACGTTGTTTTCATCAATATATGCATTTTTGCAAACTTTAGTATATGGATTTTTCTACATATTATTTGCCTGATAAACTGCAGTGGAAGATTTGGAGAAGTGTGAATCTTGAAGAATGGCTGTATTTTAGTTTATGGATTGTTTCAGAAAGTACGAATTACATAGGTTCGCCTTAAAATGCAAACTGAGTGGAATTGCTCCCTAATACCTAGTGAGAAGTAAATGTGTTTCATGTGTTCAGCCAGCGCATGCCTTTTTGCTTAGTTTTTCAAAATCAATTTACGTGCTTTTTGGAGCATGAGTGAATTTTTAAGCGCCTTAACTCTTTTCTTAAAGTGAAACTTTTTGATCCTAGATATATTGATAGATATCCCTTGAACTGCTTTCTAATCCACCGCTAAACTTGTTCCTCTCTCCATTTATTCATATTTGGCTGCTTGCAAGTATCTTGGTTTATTTGTATTGCCTTGCATGTTCCATACATACTGCGTGGCTTCCATGGCTAAGTCAGTGTTGGAAAAGGTGAGTGTTTAATGCTGCTTTTAACAAGATCTGATAGCTTAAGTCCCTGGTGGAATTATTTGACAAGCCCTACGTGGGTACGTTTTATTATCATTATTAATTGTTGCTGTGTGAGTCAGGATTGAAGAGTGGTAAGACAAACTCACCTGCCCTGCCTTCATTCTCTTTGCTTTCAATCCTGTGCCTTTGATTAGCCTTCTTTCAGCCATGTGCATTTTTGTCTAATATTAAAGGTTACAAAAAGCTAATTATTGTGCAGAGAAGGTTACTGGTACATTTTCTAAAATATAACTTGTGTGTCTGACCTTGCATGTACTTGTATCGTTCTCTGTTATTTTTCATGTCAGGATGGCAAACAGGAATGATAATAGGAAAAGCAGATGCCAGCTAGATTGGCTGTTGTAAGTGATGTGGGAGACGTGAATAAAGATAGGGCACAGGCACTCTTTCTTAATTTCCCATCTGCATCTTTCTTCTACAAAGGGCTTCCTGTATGATTAATATTACTGTATTGCTTTTGGAATGATAAACCAGGAAAATATATATCTACAAACCAGAGGTAGCACACCTGGTACGCTCCACATGCTGTAGACTACAAATCCCACATTCTTTCTTATGCTGGCTGGGGCCAATGGAAGACAAATTCCACACCTGGCAGGCAACACCTTAGCAGCTGCTCATGCATAGCTACAGCTCAGTGTTAAAGCATCTTACTTCTATGCAGCAGGTCCCAGGTACAATCTCTGCCATCTCTAGGTAGGGCTGTCTGAAAACTAGAAAAGTGCTGCCAGTCAGTGCAAAGGCAAAAAGGTAAAGGATCCCTGGATGGTTAAGTCCAGTCAAAGGTGACTACGGGATTGCGGCGCTCATCTCGCTTTCAGGCTGAGGGAGCCAGCGTTTGTCCACAGACAGCTTTCTGGGTCATGTGGCCAGCATGACTAAACCACTTCTGGTGAAATGGAACACCGTGACGGAAGCCAGAGCCCACGGAAACACCATTTACCTTCCTGCTGCAGCGGTACCTATTTATCTACTTGCACTTGCGTGCTTTTGAACTGCTAGGTTGCCAGGAGCTGGGACAGAGCAAAGGCAGCTCACCCCATTGCGGGGATTTGAATTGTCAACGGCAAGCCCAAGAGGCTCAGTGGTTTAGACCACAGCGCCACCTGCATCAGTGTAGATAAAACTGAGCTAGATGAACCCATAGTGTGACTCAGTATGGTATGTGTGTGTTCTTCTTCCCATTTAACATTTCCTTGATGCTTGACAGCCTCCTTAGCTGGCTGTACTTCTGAGTTGTGGGGGGCAGGGAACCCATGGAACGAGTTACCTCAGGATGGTTTTAAATGAAGTGTGGAAAGCCAAGGAGGGTAGCTACACAGCACCCAAGATCAGTGTAGTCACTGGTTTTGCTTTTAAGGGTAATACTTCATTTTACCATCAGAGAGAGAGAGAGAGAGAGAGAGAGAGAGAGAGAGAGAAATTGATCTGAGCACCTGGAAAGGCTGCAGAGTGCAGACCGCTAGAGATATAGAATCATAGAGATGGAAGGGACCCTGAGGGTCATCTAGTCCAACCCCCTGCAATGCAGGAATAAGCAGCTGTCCCTTGCGAGGATCGAACCTGCGACCTTGGTGCTACCAACACCACACTCTAACCAACTGAGCAATCCAGCACTAGGATAATAGAAAGGGCACTTTCAAACATCCCTTGGCAACTGTAAAAGTAAATTTACAATAAAGCATGCCCTACTTATTTTTTTCTGTCCCCTTTGATAATTTTCAGTGCAATTTATTTCTGCATTAATTGATGCGGAATGGTTAAAGAAAAGGAAAAATGGTTAAACGAAACGGATCTTGACGGATAAATGACCTGCCTGACCAAGTATAAGACAGTCCCTTGTGTTCACAAGAAAATGGTTTAACTTAATGATGAGCGGCAGTACTATGATGTCACTGGTACTAATCCCCACAAGGTGTGTAAGCCGATACATGTACTAACAATGATGCTATACTGTAATGCCATGTTCAGCATTTTCTATGCTGCTCAGGTGTGCATCCCTCAAGAGCATTTATGTTTTCCAGGAGCACAGGGCCATAAGGTCTGGACCTGGAAATCCTACTTCTTCACAAGTGCTAACTTTGAGGGCTGGGGCTGCTCTCATTTCTTGCTCTCCTCTAATCTTGCAGGCCCTTGGATAATGAGAGGATGCTGGTGCAAGTCAAAAGAGAATGTTGCCCTTGGTCTTTCACAGCTCATTAAGGACAAATAGGCTTTTAGCTAATGAAAATCTAGCATTTGTATTAAAGGCTTCATAATGATATATAGTCAGAGGTGCTATACTATCTTGGGTAATTGGGAATTTTATTTGTCTTTTTCTTCTGGGGGAGCATCGTGGACAATATTGGAGTTGTTCTAAACTAAAATAATTAATTGGGCTATAAAATGTAAGTACCCAGAGCTTTTGGGGATAGAGAAGCAGCTACTGCATGAACATTAATGCTTCTCTTAGTGCTGACCTGAGATATGACCAGGGCATTATGAATTGGTCAAATACACATTAAATAATGCATATGAAAAGAAGCACTCCACTGGGGGGGTGGGGAGGGGAATGAAGTTATTTTCTCTTGTTAAGGAGAAGAAGGAACATAAAGGGAAAGGGCATGCTATTTCTGTGGGACAACTCTGGAACTGACACAGTCATAATGGATTTCATTCATAGGATGTGATTCACCAGGATTGCAGGAGCCCTGTTACAAATGAACGGCAGAGTCCACTCCATTCACACAAGATAATCTTTGTAGCTTTAGCAGTTGGAGAAGTGGAGAAAATCACTGGAGGACATTTCATTGACTATAGCAGGGTCAGGCCATGAACTGTCTTAAGGAAGGTCCTCCAGATGTTGTGTGCAACAGACCCATCTTTGGTGTGGAAGAGGCATGAACAGTGAAAATGGTTGGCTGTGAAAACGCTTGCAAGGTATTGAATTTTTGCTTTCACAAAATGGTAAAGATGGAAATAACAATTCTTCCATTTTATTATTATTTTTAAATTGTTTTAGAAGCCACACTGTCATAAAATAAATAAATAACAAGGCTGAATACAGCATATAAAATCAAAACCAACAAAGGCTTCCATAAAAGACACAATAATTCTGACCAGATTAGAAGGGAAATTAATGTTGCAAAGGCCTGTCCAAACAAGAAAGTCTTAAGATTCATCTGAATGGATCTGGTGAGGCAATGTATCACCAGAGGAAATTTAAGTCTTTTTGGGCTGAGTATAAAGAGGTACTCTTTTCTTAACACCAAAGTTATGTTAGTATCATTCATCATAGTACCACTCTCCTATGTAGCAGAAAAGCTATAGCTTAGTTACGACTAACAGTTCATCATAGTACCACTCTCCTATGTAGCAGAAAAGCTATAGCTTAGTTACGACTAACAGTTAAGGTGATGCTCAGTAGTATAAGGAGTCTTGAAAGAAATTAGCAACAGTGGGTTATGCTAGAGATGTTTTAAACACCATAAAAAGCCACATATGAGGTCTTGGAAGCTTGGAATATGTTGTTTGCTTTGGAGCTCACAATTATGCAAAATCCTTTTCTCACCATTAGTGTGACATTCACAATCTGCCAGCACAAACCTCTAGTAGATTAAGCGAAATGGGTTTCTAAATTGTATGTTATTGACTTTTCAATTATGCAGGCAATGGTGGGAAAGCTACCGGAGGAGATATAGATTATAGGATCTCTGTCCCAAGGAAGATCTGCAAACAAAGAGAAGCAGAGCAGCCTGGGATCAGTCTGATGAATATTGATGGTGTGTTGACGAGGTGCAAGGTGATGTATAGATAAATAAGCAATGTCCATGTGCCAAGGAACTGTTTGGTAGAGAGACAACAGTGGTATTAAAGAAGAAATCATCCTTGATGGCCATGGGAAGAGGGGGAAAAATCTTTATGGTTATGGTATTTAGCCTCTGAATGAACACATTGAAATCATCATGTAGTACAATTACTGGAACTTAATTCGTTTCTTTGTTGTGTCATTCTTCACATGGGCAAGCCTATTTTCCTTTTGTAATTACATTTGCTCGAAAACAGACACCCGAGTATAAGCTGACACTGGGATGACAAATGGACACAAATGGACCAAAGCAAACAAAGTATAGATTTGTTAACCCTTCATTCTCCCCTCTGTCCACTAGCAGTACCTTGGAAAGGGCCAGGTAGGAGGATAGTGCTTTCATTCTGGCCGGTTGTTTGATAAACCAACTCTATTATTGCACTCCAGAGAATGCCAAGCTGAATTCCAATTAAATCAGGGGGACATTGTAACCAATGGGTCACAATCAATTATTGCATATGTATACCTTGAACACACTACCCTGAGCGGTGAGATATTTCCCTTGGAGATACTGTTCTCACTGTGCCCCTTATCTTATACAAGAACAATTCTCATACGGACTTGCTCCAGAAGTTTATTATGAGACTTAAAGCTTATATTGACTAATTATTCCAGTAATTAATGCAGAACAGCATGTGAGCATAGGTAGGAATCATGGGCACCTTTAACTTAATACATTCATACCTTAAGACATGAAAGAATCTAGTCTGAGAGAGGAAATAAAGTGGGTGAGCATAGCATTACAATATGATATCTCTATAAAATAGAGAATGTAATAGAATAATCATTTCTTACTTGTACCCCAGCTACTCTGGGTAGCTTCTAAGAGAATATTAAAAAGTCCCAGCTCCCTATAGAACAGTCTATGGTTGGACAGATGGATTTAGATCTGGACGCCAAAAGCAGGCTTGAGGTTTCTATGCCCGAAAACAGTAAGCTCTCTCCTTCTAAATCAGATGTTACAAACCCCAATACAGTGGTGCCCCGCAAGACGAATGCCTCGCAAGATGGAAAATCCGCTAGACGAAAGGGTTTTCCGTCGCGGAGGCGCTTCGCAAGACCAAGTTCCCTATGGGCTTGCTTTGCAAGACGAAAACGTCTTGCGAGTCTCGCCATTTCCCCCCCGCTTCCCCCCCCTTTCAAAGCGGCTAAGCTGTTAATAGCCTTTTAACAGCTTAGCCGCTAAGCCGCTAATAGCGCTAAATCGCTAATAGCGCTAATCCGCTTAGCCGCCAATGGGGTTGCTTCGCAAGACGAAAAAACCGCTAGAAGAAAAGAATCGTGGAATGGATTCTTTTCGTCTTGCGAGGCACC